CTGACCCCACTCTGGAGTGTCCCTGGGGTTTCACTGTCCCCTCTCTGGGGTGTCCCTGACCCCTCCCTGAGGTTCCTGACCCCACTCTGGGTGTCCCTGGGGTGTCCCTGACCCCTGTCCGTGGTGTCCCCTCTCTTTCTCCTCCAGGTCACCCATCCCTGGACTCAGTTTTGGAGCTGCTGCAGGAGGCCCTGGGCTGGATCAGCCACTTCCCCCCGGGGTCCCTGTACGGGGGGCTGTGCCAGCTGCTGGCCCTGCTCACGGGGGACAGGGACCCCCTGGGCACAGCGGGGCTGCTCTCGGAGTCCTTGTGTGTCACCGCCCGCCACCAGCTGCTGGGCATCCTGCACAGCCGGGCAAGGTGGGTGTCCCCTCCCCGTGTCCCCTCCCTGTGTCCCCTTCCTTCATCCCCCATTCCATTGGGGCTTTGGGCCCCATTCCATTGCCCCATCCCAATGTTCCCTCTCTTCCCCACCATCCCCCCCATCCTGGGGCAGGGTCTCACCCCACACTCCCCTCACCCTGCAGAGGTCATTTTGGGATGATTCCTCCTTCACCTTTGAGATGATCCCCTCTCACCTTTGGGACAATCTCCCCCCTCACCTTTGGGATGATCCCCCCACTCAGGAAGAAGAGGAAGAAGGAGAAGTTGGGAGGGGATGTGTCGGAGCAGCTCCAGGGCCTTTCCCTGCGGGAAGGGGGGGACCCCCCCCAGCCCTGCCCCCGCCTGGCCCAGCTCGAGGGGCTCTTCCAGTTCAGCACCTCAGGGCTGGGGGCTCCAGAGAGGGAACAATTCCGGGAGCAGATCCAGCAGATCCCCAGTGGTGAGTCCACGGGGGCCACTGGGACCAGCACTCAGCACTGGGGAGGGGGATCCTGAACCCAGGGGGGGCTTGGGTGTCCCCCTGTGCAGGATATGGAGGGGCTGGAGAACGAGGAAAACAAGAAGGGGCTGGAGAAGGAGGGAAAGTGGCTGCAGAAGAAGGAAAAGGTGCCCTGGGGGAGGTGGGTCTGTGGTGCCCTGGGGGGTCTGTGATGTTTTGGGGGGCCTCTGATGGCCGGGGCTGTCCCTGACCTCGTGTGTCCCTAGGGGTGACCGTGGTCCTGCTGGCCCTGGGCAGCCCCTGCCAGGGGGCCGTTGGGGACACTCTGCTCCTGACGCGGCTGGAGAGGGACATGGAGCCCCTGAGCATCCGGATCCCCACCCACAGGTCCCAGGTGAGGGCAGCGAGGGCATTCCAGGGTCTGGGATCCATCCCCAGCCTCCTCCTCATCCTGGGGAGGAGCGAATTCCCCATTCCAGGGGCTGGCATCATGGACCACCCTCACCTTCATCCTGGGGAGGGGGCACCCCCCATTCCAGGATCCCTTTAGGGAGTCATTCACCATTTCAGGGGGTGGGATCCCTTTAGGATGTCCCCCTACCATTCCCAGATCCTTGATGCCTCCCCCTCCAGGCCCCCCTCAGCTCCATCCTGAGGGAATTTGAGTCAATCCAACGCGAGCAGAAGGAAGCCAACGGATGCACAGACAAGCAGGAGTGGTGGTCACGGCGTTCCCAGCTGGATCAGAGGATGAAGGTGGGGAGACACCCCCCCCAATCCCCAAATTTGGGATGGGGGTGTCCTGACCCCTCTGAGTGACTCGTCCTGGAGTTGGATCCCATTACCTTTTGCACCTCTCCCTATCCCCTTCTCTGTCTCCCTTTCCTTTTTCCACATCTCCCATTCCCATGTGTCCCATTCCCACCTCTTCCATTCCCATTCCCACCTCTCCCCTTCTCTTTTCCACATCTCCCACTCTCTTTTCCACGTCTCCCATTCCCTTTCCCATGCCTGCCATCCCCTTTTCCCGTTCCCAGACCCTCATCCAGAGCCTGGAGTCCCATGTTTTGGGGTGCTGGCGGGGGCTGCTCCTGCCCAGGCCCCCCGGGAGCTCCCCCAGCTTGGCCGAGGAATCCTCCCGGCTCATCCCGGAGCTGCGGAGCTGCGGCTGGAACGACCCCGACCCTGCCCTCGTCCAGGTGGGTGGCCTGGGCTGGGATCTGGGGGGGGTGATCCTGCGATTTGGGGGGCTGAGTGTGGGTTTGGGGGGGCTGAGCCCAGGATTTGGAGGGGCTGAGCTGGGATTTTGGGTGCTGATCCTGGATTTTGGGTGCTGATCTTGGATTTTGGGGTGCTGACTCCTCGATTTTGGGGTGCTGACTCCTTTGCCCCCCAGGTGCTGCTGAATGGGGCCCCTGCACTGACCCCCCCTGATGTCCAGGCCTTGGCCTTCGGCCTCTGCCCGGCCCGGCCCCTCCGGGCGCGGCTGCTCCTGGAGGAGGCCCTGGAGGGGGCCCTGGAGAGGGACCGAGGGGACAGCAGGGGGTCCCTGGTGCTGCTGCTGGACAAGGTGAGACCCCTGAGGCTGCTGCTTCATCCTCATCATCCTCACTCCTTCCTCATCCTCCTCACACCTTCATCTTTATCCTCACACCTTCATCATCCTTCTCCTCCCCTGCTCCTGGAGGAGGCCCGGGAGAAGGGCCAGGTGGCTCTAGGGGGTCCCTGGTGCTGCTGCTGGATAAGGTGAGACACCCCCAGGGCTCCTTCCTCATCCCCACACCTTCCTCACCCTTCTCCTCCTCCCTGGCAGCACCTGCAGCGTCTCCCCTGGGAGTCCCTCCCGGCCCTCGGGGCCGTGCCGGTGACGCGGCTCCCGGCCCTGCGGTTCCTGCTCAGCTACGTGATGGCCCGGCAGGTCAGGGGGGCACAGACCCCTGGGACCCTCTCCCTGGCGGGTGGGGGGACCCCCTGAACCCCCTTCCCAGGGTTTGGGAACCCTCCATCCCCCATTCCCGGGGTTTGGAGTGTCCCAGGGTTTATTCCCCCATTCCCACATTCCCTGTCCCCCTCAGAGCTCAGGGTCCGTCCTGGCCCGGGGGGTGAACCCCAAAAGCACCTTCTACGTCCTGAACCCCCACAACAACCTGGGGGGCACCGAGCAACGTTTCCGGGCCTGGTTTGAAAGGTCAGGGCACCTTTGGGGGGCTGGGGGGGGAGGTGGGGCTGCACCCCAAATCCTGCCCCTATAACCTCTGCGGGGGATGCACCCCAAATCCTGCCCCTATAACCCCTGGGGGGGCTGCACCCCAAATCCTGCCCCTGTCCCCTCTGGGGTGGCTCTGGCCCCCAAAATGCGCCCTGTCCCCCCCAGTGAGCCAGGCTGGCGCGGCGTGTCTGGCTCTATCCCAACCCCGGAGCAGATCCAGGAGGCCCTTCTGGAGCATGACCTGTACATGTGAGTGGGATTTTGGGAGGTCCCTGGAGGGTCCTGACACCCCCCAGAGCTCGGAGTCAGTTCTGAGCTGAGGGGGTGAACCCCAACAGCACCTTCTCCCCCTTCCCTGGGTTTTGGGGACCCCCTGTTCCCCATTTCCGGGTTTTTGGGAACCCCTGGGACTCACTCCGGGGGTCTGTGTCCCCCAGCTATGCAGGGCACGGGTCGGGGGTGCGGCTCCTGGACAGACAGACCCTTTCCCGGCTGGAATGTCGGGCTGTGGTGCTGCTCTTCGGCTGCTCCAGCGCCGCCCTGGCCCTGAGGGGGGGCCTGGAGCCCACCGGGACGGTGCTCAGATACGTCATGGCCGGGTGGTGAGTCTGGGGGGGCCCGGGGGGCTTTGGGAGGATCTAGGGTGTATCTGGGGTGATTTGGGGGGGATCCGGTGGGCCTGGAGCCCACCGGGACCGTTCTCAAATACATCATGGCCGGGTGGTGGCTCTGGGGGGCTCTGTGCCTTTGGGGGACTCTTGGGCTTTGAGGGGGCTCTGCATGCTCAGTTTGAGGGGGGCCTTGGGAATTTGGAGGGTCTCTGTGACTCTGGGGGTCTCTCCACGCTCACAGCCTGTGTTGGGGGGCCCTCTCCCCCTTGTTTTGCAGCCCCCTGGTGCTGGGGACGCTGTGGGACGTCACTGACCGGGACCTGGACCGCTTTGCCCAGGCCCTGCTGCAGGGTTGGCTGGGGGGAGGCCCCGGGACCCCCCTCCTGCCCCACCTGTCCCAGGCCCGCCAGGCCCCCCGACTCAAATCCCTCATCGGGGCCGCGCCCGTGGCCTACGGGCTGCCCGTGAGCCTCAGCTGAGGGGGGTCCCTCCCATTCTCTTTGGGGTCTCCCCATTGCTTGTGGTGTGGGCTGGAGGGTCCCCCAGTTGGTTTTGGGTCCCCCCTGTTACCTACAGGCTCCTCATCTCCCTGTGGGAATGGTTGGGGGGTCCCCCCCATTGTTTGGAGATCCCCTTGTTACCTTTGGGGTCCCCCCATTGCCCTGCTGAGGATTTTGGGGTCCCCCACCACCATGGGGCCTTTTGGGGGTGTCTGTTCTGGGGTCCCTGTGCCTCTTTTGGGGAGTTATGCACGCCTTAATTTATTTTAATGAAATTGGTTTTATTCGAGTTTCTGCAACAACGAAATAAATAAAAGCTGCTGCCTCTTTATCCGACCCCCCACCTCGAGTGTTTCTGAGCCCCCAAATTCCACTGGGCTTCCCCAAGTTTCTCTGGCCCTCTCAAGTTTCCCTGGGTCCCCTCAGGTCTCAGGGTTCCCCCCAGGTCTCTCATTAAGACCCCTCCCCTTTCTCCTGAGGGGAGCATTAGGGACACCCCCTTTTCCCCTGGGGGGGCATTCGGACCTCCTTTCTCTGGGGTCGGATCCCCCCCTTTCTCTGGGGAGCACCTTGGACCCCCCTTTTCCCTGTGGGAGACCTTGGATCGCCCTTTCTCTCGAGTGGAGGGGGCTTTATGACCCCCATTTTTCGCGGAGGAACATTAGGACCCCCCTTCTCGCGGGAGGGGGCGGGAGGGGGGGCATTAACACTCCCCCCTTTCCCGGGGTGGGGTGGGCATCAGGACGCCCCCCGCAGTCCTCCAGCCCGGCAGGGGGCGTTGTCTCTCAGAGGGTATGGGTGGTGGGTGGGGACGGGGTGTTGTCGGTCCTCCAGCCCGGCAGGGGGCGCTCTCACGCCAGGGCGTGTCCTGGGGCGGGGCGGCCCAAGATGGCGCAGACCGTGAGCGTGGGGGAGCTGGGGCTGCCCCAGCTGGAGCTGCTCAAGGGGCAGCTGGACCAGGTCTGGGGAGCCTGGGGGGCTGTGGAGGGTGTGGGGATCGGGGGGCGCGGGGTCTGAGGGTAAGATGGGACTGCCCCCGCTTTGGGGGTTTGGTTTGGGGAGTCGTGGGGAGGTCCTGGGAGGGGCTTGGGGGGCTTTGGGGATCGGGGGGGGTCTGGGGGTCCTAGCTGGAGCTGTTCAAGGGGCAGCTGGAGCAGGTTGGGAGGTCCTGGGGGGTTATGGCGGTCTGAGAGGGGTTATGAGGGAGTCCTGAGGGCTGGGGGGGCTTTGGGGATCAGAGGGGGCTCTGGGGGGTCCCAGCTGGGGCTGCTCAAGGGGCAGCTGGAGCAGGTGTGGGGGAATTGGGGGTCCTGGGGGTTTACAGGGGGCTGGGAGGGGTTATGGGGAGCTTTGGGATCGGGGGTTCTTGGGGGCTGGTGAGGCTCTGGGGGAGGCCTCTCTGCTCCCCCACCAGCCCTGGGGACCCTCGAGCCTCACTAAAGCCCCCCCGTACCCCCCCAGGAGGTGGAGTTTCTCTCCTCATCCCTGGCCCAGCTCAAGGTGGTCCAGACCAAGTTTGTGGAGGCCAAGGAGTGTCTGAACGTGCTCAACAAGGGCAACGAGGGTAAGGGGGGCCCCAACCCGGGGGGCCTCAGGGGGGGCCCTTGGGGGGGTACAGGGGATCCCGGGGGGGGGGCTCGGGATGGCACAGAGGGCTTTGGCTGCTTGGGGGGGGGCTGGGAAGGTCTCAGGGGGGTCCTTGGGAGAGTTGGAGGGCCCAGGGAGGTGCGGGGGGGGGGGCTCAGGGGGGTCCTGGGGACTGTTTGGGATCACAGGGGGTCCCAGAGGGGCTTCTGGGGGGTCCTAGGTCTCTGTAGGGGGTCTCAGGGGGTCTTCCCAGCCCCCCCTTGATCCCCTCTTCGTTTTCCCCAGGGAAGGACCTGCTGGTGCCTCTCACCAGCTCTGTATCCTTTGCCCCCCTCTGGGGGTCTCTGTGCCCCCCCCAGGCTCTGCTGCCCCCCAGAGCCTCCCCCTGTGCCTCCCAGCCCCTCCCTTTGCTCTCTGGGACTCCCCTTTTCCCTGACCCCCCCTGGATCCCTCTCTCTGGGTGGAGGTGTCTCTGTGCCCCACCACGACCCCCCTTTTCCCTGACCCCCTTCAAACTCCCTCAGGCCCCCAAGAGCCCCCCAGAGAAACCCACCCCGGCCCTGCCAAGATCCCTCAAACCCCCACAGAGCCCCACTCCAGACTCCTCAAACCCCTCCCTGGAACCCCCCCAGACCTCCTCAGACCTGCCTTGTCCTCTGTGCCCCCTTTTCCCTGACCCCCCCAGATGTACGTGCCCGGGAAGCTCTCGGACGTCAGGAGGGTCCTGGTGGACGTGGGCACTGGGTACTACGTGGAGAAGGTGGGGGGAGGCCCTGGGGTCTCGGGGGGTGTGGAGGGGGTTTGGGGGGGTCTTGGCAGGGCTGGGGTGGGTTTTGAGAAGCTTTGAGGGGCACGGTGGGGGCTCCTGGGGGCTCTTGGGAGGGGGCCCTGAGAGGGTCTGGGGGGTTTTGGGGGGTCTTGGAGGTGGGGAGTCTGGGGGGGTTTGGGTTTTTTTTGCCCTGCTCTCATCCTGTTTTTTTCCCCCTTCCCATCCCTCATCCCTCTTTTTCTCCCCTTCCCACCCCCTTTCCCACCTCCTTTCTCATCCCATTCTTCCCCCATTCCCATCCCCCCTCATTCTCACTCCCATTCCCATCCTCTTCTCCCCCAATCCATTCCCATTATTCCTCCCATTCCTATTAATCCTATTCCCATTATTCCCATTTCCCCATTATTCCCATTCCTCCCCATTTCCTCCATTCCCACCCTCATTTTTCAACCCCCGTTTCTCCACATTCCCATTCTTCCCATTATTTATTCCCATTATTACCCCGATTCCCATTATCCCCCCATTACCATCATTTCCACCACTCCCCCCATTCCCATTTTCCCACTATCCCCATTCCCATCCCCCATTCCCAGTCCGCCGACGCCGCCCGGGCGTTTTTCCAGCGGAAAATCGAGTTCCTGACGCGGCAAATGGAGAAAATCCAACCGGCCCTGCAGGAGAAACACGCCATGAAACAGGGTGGGCACCCCCCCAGGACCCCTGGCTTTGGGGGACCCCCCCACGGACCCCCGACTCCCCCAGGGCTTGGAACCTCAACACCCCCCAACCCCCTTGGTTTTGGGGTCCCCCCGGGTTTTGGGTCCCCTGACCCCTCATGTCCACCCCCCAGTTTTGGGGTCCCCCTGTCCCCAGTGCCTTCGCTGTGGGTTTTGGGGTCCCCCCAGTTTGGGGGTCCCCCCTGACCCCCCTGTCTCCCGCAGCCGTTCTGGAGATGATGACGCAGAAGCTGCAGCAGCTCACGGCGGCCCCGGGCGGGGCCAAGGCGTGACCCCCCCTTCATCCTCCTCATCCTCGAGGGGGTGGCCCCCCCAAATCCCGGCCCCCTCAGCCCCCCCAGATCCCCCCTCCCGTTTTGTAGCAGCTTTTGCTGCCAACCCCCAATAAAGGAGAGACGGAGTGGGGGGTCCTGGGGGGGTTTTTGAGTGGGGCTGGGGGGCTTTCGGGGGGGGTCTTGAGGTACAGGGGAGGTTTACTAAGGTAGGGGGGCTCTGCCACACCTGCACCCACACAATTTGGGGTACCCCCTTCCTGGGTTTAGGACCCCCCTTCCTGCTCTTGTGGCCCCCCCGACCCCCATCCTATTTTTGGGTCCTCCTGACTCCCCCTCCCCAGTTCTGGGACCCCCCAGCTCTCCTGACCCCCTCCTTGGCTTTGGGGCCTCCCAACCTCCCCTCCCAGTTTTGGGGTCCCCCAACTCCCTCTCAGGTTTTGGGGCCCCCTTGACCCCCCCTCCTTGTGTTTTGGGGTACCCCCCAGCCCCCTCCTGGTTTTGGGGCCCCCATTTGCCCCCCCCAAAATCCTGTTGCCCCCCCCTCGACCCCTGAACCCCCCAAAACTCCCCTCCCCGGGACTTTTTGCTGCCCCCCCTCCCCCCCCCAAGTTTTACCACCCCCCATGTAGGGCATTTTTGCCCCCTCCTCCCCCAAAAAACACCCCCAGGTCCCCCAAACACAACTTTATTCACAGCCCTGCCCCCCCCCTCCCCTCCCCCACAGGGGGGTCCCGATGTCACCACTCCCCCCCGGGGGTCCCCCCTTCTTGTGTGTGTGTCCCCTCCCCCCCTATTTACAGCTTTGGGTTCTGGCACCGACAGGGACATTGGGAGCACTGGGGGGTCCAGGGGGGCACTGAGGTGACACGGGAACATGGAGGAATTTGGGGACACCGTGTCCCATTGTGTGTGGCACTGTCCGTGTGTCCCCAGCCCTGTCCCCATGTCCTGCCTGTGGCACAGCCCGTGTGTCCCCTGGCATGGTGTCACAGTCCCTGTGTCCCCTCAGGGCACAAGGAGTGGCAGGTGCCCAGAGCTGTGCCCAGGGCAGAGCCACTGTGGGCCAGGTGTCCCCCTGTCCGTGTGTCCCCTTCATGGTGTCCCTCTGTCTGTGTGTCCCCTGGCCATTGTCCCCATGTCCCCTTGGGGTACAAAGAGCCCTCAGTGCCCCCTCCGGTGCCAGGGCAGTGTCCCACTGTCCATCCGTCCCCTGTCTGTGTGTCCCCATGTCCCAAACAGCAGTCGGTGCCCTCTGCAGTGGCAGGGCCATGTCCCACTGTCCATGTGTCCCCTCCATGGTGTCCCCGTGTCCCCTCAGGGCCCGAAGAGCGGGAGGTGCCCCCTCCGGTGCTTCCTCAGTGCCGCGCTCCGGGCGAAGCTCTCCCCGCACTCCACACAGATCAGGGGCTCCCCAGCCCCCTCCTCTGCCCCCTCCACCCCCGAGGACTCCCCCCTCGCCCTGGGGGGCTTCCCAGGGTACTGGGGGGCTCTCCGTGGCCGTGCCCCCCCCGCGTGGGTTCGCTGGTGCTTGATGAGGTTCTTGCTCTGCGTGAAGCTCTTCCCGCAGTCGGAGCAGCCGTAGGGCCGTTCCCCGGTGTGGATCCGCTGGTGCTGGATGAGGTTGGAGCTCCAGGAGAAGCTCTTCCCGCAGTGGCCGCACCTGTAGGGCTTTTCCCCGGTGTGGGTGCGGCGGTGCTGCACCAGGTGGGAGTTCTGGGAGAAGCTCTTCCCGCACTCCCCGCAGGTGCTCGGCCGCTCCCCCGTGTGGGTTCGCTGGTGCCGCAGCAGCTTCGACCAGTGGCTGAAGCTCTTCCCGCACTCGTTGCAGATAAAGGGGCGTTGCCGACCCCCTCCGCGGCGCCCCCCCCCTTCCTCGGACCCGCCCTGGGAGGGGCCCGGGGGTGCCCGCGGGGCGGGGGGACAGAGGGGGCTGTGGGGGATCACGGTCTGGATGATCTCCTGCGGCAGAATTTCCTCCTCCTCATCCTCGCTCACGATCCCGTCATCGGCTGGAGGGAGGGGAACCAACAAACAGGTACTGACCCCGGGAATGGGCACTGTGCCCTAGAAGGGGCTGTGACCCCCTCACTGCCCCCACAAAGGGGCTGTATCCCCAACCCAGAGTGGCTGGAGACCCCAAAAGGGTTTGTAAACCCCCAAATGGTCACTGCACCTCAAAAGGGGTTGTAACCCCCCCAGGAATGGTCACTGTACCCCAAAAGGGTCTGTACCCACATCCCAGGGTGCCTGGAGACCCCAAAAGGGTTTGTACCCCCCCAGGAATAGGCACTGTGTCCTAAAATGGCCCTCACTGACCCCCAAAAGGGGCTGTACTCCCTCCCAGGCAGTCTGGAGACCCCAAAAGGAGTTGTAATCCCCCCAAATGCCCTAAAAGGGTCTGTACCCCCTTACTGTGCCACAAAAAGGGACTGTACCCCCTGTCCCAAATGATCACTGCACCCCAAAAGGGGCTCTACCCTCCTCCTCAGGTGCCTGGAGACCCCCAAAAGTGTCTGGAGCCCCCCAAAAGTCACTGTACCCCCCCTCCTTGGGTACCTACTGCACCCCAAAAGTGCATCCTGAAGTGCCTGGACCCCGCAAAACTGCCCATACCCCCCTCCTGGGGTGCCTGGAGCCCCCCCCAGTTTTGGAGTCCCCCCTCACCGATGAAGACCCTCCTGACCATGTCCCCCTCGTCCCCCTCGTCCGAGTCCTGTAGCTCCACCACCTCAGGCTCCTCCTGCTCCATGGGGGGGTTTGGGGGGCCTGGGGGAAACAGGGATCCTGAGCACCCCAAAACACACGTGGGACCCCCCCCCCCGACCCCAGAAACACCCCCCCAAATCCCAAAGGACCTTTTGTGTCCCATTTTCTGCTGTGCTGGGGATGGATCCTCTGAATCCAGGGATTTGGGGAGGGGCTGCTCCCTCCAATCCCTCTGTACCCCTCCTCAATCCCTCTGTGCCCCCCAAATCCCTTTGCTACCCCCAGTCCCTTTGTGCCCCCCAAATTGTGACCCCAAATCCCTTCTTTCCCCTCCAAACCCCTCTGTGTGCCCCCCCAAATCTCTGTGCTTCCCAAACCCCTCTGCCCCCAAATCCCTCTGTGTGACCTCAAATCCCTTTGTTTCCCCCCAAATCCATTTGTCCCCCCAAAATCCCTCCGAGTGACCCCCAATCCCTCTGTGCCCCCCCAAATGTGACCCTAACCCCCCTGCACCCTCCCCAATTCCCCCTGTGCCCTGCATTCCCCCCCTCACCTGTTCCTTGGGGGGTCTTGGGGGGTCCCACGGTTGCTCCGGACTCAGCTCCTGAAATCTGGGGAGGAGGGGGATGGGAGGGGTCACAAGGAGGTCCCAGGGGGGTCCCTTGTACCCCCTCCCATGGAAACAGGGCTGAACTGAGCCCCCCACCCACATTTAGGGGGGAAAAAGGGGTCTTGTAACATCACTGTGGGGGTCAGGGCCCTCCCCCACACCAAATCCAACATGGGGATCTCCCAAATTTTCGGGGGAGTCTCCCAATGTTTTGAGGGGTCCTCACTCCCCTTCCCCCCCAAACCCAAAGATGGATGTTCATCCCCCCCCCCAAATCCATCGCTGCCTCCCCCCAGCGCGCCCCTTCCCCCCAAATCCAAGACGGAGGGGGGGGTGTCCCAAATTTTGGGGAGGGAGGGAATCTCCCCGTGTTCCGGGGGGGTCCAACCCTTCACAACCCCAAAAACGGCGCCTCATTCCCCCCCCCCCCTCAAATCCATCACCCTCCCCATCTTCTCCCCCACCCCAAAACCAACACGGGGGGGGCTCAAGTTACGGGAGGGGTGTCTCCCAATGTTCCGGCGGGTCCACACTCCCCTCTGCCCGAACCCCAAAGATGGCTGTTCAGCCCCATCCCCCCCCTCAAAATACATCGCCCCCCCATCGCCTTCCCCCGCCCCAAATTCAACACAGGGGGGTCCCATATTTTTTTGGGGGAGTCTCCCAATGTTCCGAGGGGTCCTCACTCCCCTCCCCCCGCCTTTACAAACCCCAAAACGACCGTTCCTTCCTCGCCCCGCCCCCATCCATCGCCCCCTCCTCGTCCCCCCCAGTCGCCTCCCCCCTCCCCAAATCCAACACGGGGGTGTCCCAAATTTGGAGGGGGGGGTGTCTTCCAATGTTCCCTAATCCTCTTCCCCCTCTCGCCCCAAAGATGGCTGTTCAACCTCCCCCCATCGCCCCCCGACTCACCCCTTTGGGGCCTCGTTCCTCGGGGATCCCGGAGGGTCCGGGGGGCTCCAGGGCTGATTTTGGGGGGGCTCTCGGGGGTGCGGGAGGTCCGGGGGGGTCGTTTCGGGGGGAGCCCCCGGGAGCGAGGCGGGAGCGGGGCCGGGAACAGGAAGGTCCCGTCATCCCGTTCCCCGGATACGCGACGGGAAAAGGGGGGAAAAAGGGGGAAAACCTCGGGAAAAAGGGGGGGAACTTCCCAAAATTGAGGGTGTCCCACCCGTGACCCCCCCGGACAAAAAGCCGGGGAGGGGGTTTAGGAATCACCCGAATTACGGGGGGGGGGTTGGGGGAGGAAGGGGGAGTTTTCCAATCCCCGGATGGGAAATTAAACGGGATTTTTTGAGTCGGGGGGGTTTGAGGTGAGGAGGGGGAGAAAGAGAGGACGCCCCCTCCCCCCACCCCAAACAATACACCCCCCCTTTCCTGCTTTGTGTAACGGCGGCTCCGCGCGTTTCCTGCCCCCCATGCCCCCCCCCCGGGAATTAAAAACGTTGGAACTACGCAACAGCCGGCGGGGGAAATAATGGGACTGGGGGGGTTGGGGTCGTGGGATAACGGGGTTGGGGCTTTGGGGGGTCCCCTGCACCCCCCAAGCCACTGAGACTCCCCCCCTCGATGTTTTGGGGGTGTGGTTTGCACCCCACCCCTCGTGAATTAAAAATGGTTGGAATTACACAACAAGCCGGAGGGATCTCGGGATTCCAGGATAGAGGGACAGCAGGATTGTGGGATAACGGGATGGTGGGGTTGTGGTATCGGGGTTTTGGGGTGTCCCCTGTGCACCCTAAGCCTTGAGCCCCCGCCCGGTTGTTTTGGGGGTGTGTTTTGTGCTCCCCCACGGGAATTAAAAATGGTTGGAATTACTCAACAAGATGAGCCTGAGGGGTGAATAATTGGATCGGGGGGTTTGGGGATTGTGGGATAATGGGATTGGGGTTTTAGGGAGTCCCCTGTGCCCCCCAAGAACCCCCCCCCCCCCCATGTTTTGGGGGTGCGTTTTTTGTCCCCCCCCCCAGTAATTAAAAATAGTTGGAATTACACGAGGAGCCAGAGGGATCTTGGGATTCCAGAATGGAGGGATTTTGGGACTGTGGGATAATGGGATGGTGGGGTTGTGGGATCGGGGTTTTGAGGTGTCCCCTGCACTCTCCAAACCCCTGCGACCCCCCCTCTTGTTTTGGGGGTGCGTCTTTTGCCCCCCCCCTTTGGAAATTAAAAATGGTTGGAAATAGGGAATGAGTCAGGGTTTGAACTGGGAGTCACTGGTCTGAACTGAGGGGGATGTGGGCAGACTGGGAGTCACCGGTTTGAACTGGGAAGGGTCAGTGGCTTGGTGCCCCCCCAAACACAGGTTTTGGGGGGGAGGTCCCCAGTGTCCCCAGGGGCTGTGTCCCCCCATCTCCACATGACTCCAGACTCAGGCGGGACTTCACAAACACCTCGATTTGGGGGGGGGTATTAAAAAATAATTTATTCATTCATCAATAGACCTTCCTCGTGCACACCACGAGGCCATTCCGGGGGGGGACACTCACCCTGGTGTCCCCATGGCCCCTCCATGGTCCCTTGGGTTGGGGGTTGACACTGTGACTCCATCACAGCTCAGTGTCCTCACCGGGGTGTCCCAGTGTCGTTGTCACCCACAGCCCATTGTGGTGACACCGTGGCCCTGTCACAGCCCGGTGTCCCTGCTGGGGTGTCCTGGTGTCACTGTCACATGAAGCCCATCACGGGGGTGACACCGTGACCCCATCACAGCTCAGTGTCCCCATTGAATGTCCTGGTGTTGTTGTCACCTGTAGCTTGTTGTGGGGGTGGCCCGGTCACAGCTCAGTGTCCCCATCGAGTCTCCTGGTATCACTGTCATCCACGGGCTGTTGTGGGGGTGACACTGTGACCCTGTCACAGCTCAGTGTCACCACTGGGGTGTCCTGGTGTCCCTGTCACCCGCAGGCCGTTGTGGGGGTGACACTGATCCCGTGATCCTCTCACTGCTCAGTGTCCCCACAGTGCTGTCCCAGTGACCCTGTCACAGCGGGGGTCACACTGTGACAGTGTCCCTGTCGGGCTGCCCCCGTGTCACTGTCCCAGTCACAGCCCCGTGTGGGGCTAACACTGTGACCCTGTCACAGCCTGAGTCCCTGTCCTGCTGTCCCCATGTCACTGTCCCAGTCACAGCCTGGTGTCCCCATCAAAGTGACACTGTGACCATGTCATATCCAGGTGTCCAGCCTGGTGTCATAGTCCTCCTGTCCCTGTCATTGTCACATCCCAGTGACCCCATCCTGGTGTCCCATCACATCCCAGTGTCCAGCTCACTGTCCCCCTCCTGGTGTCACTGTCCCTGTCACATCCCCGCGTCCAGCTCGGTGTCCCTGTGCCATCCCCATGTCCAGCCTGTTGTGTCCCTGTCCCCATCCTGATGTCACTGTCCCCATCCCAGTGTCCCTGTCCCCATGTCCCCGTCACATTCTGGTGTCCCTGTCACATCCCAGTGATCCTGTCCCCATGTCCCTGTCCCCGTCACATCCCAGTGTCCACCTCGCCCTCCCCTTCCTCCCCCCCCACCCTCAGGCGCGGGTCCCCCCGGGCCACTGCCAGGACCCCCCCAGCTGCCACCAGTGCCACCAGCGCCGCCAGCGCCGCCCCCCCGAACACGCCCTGTGCCCCCCCCTCCCCGGGGGGCAGCGCCGGCAGTGCCAGGGCCACCCCCAGCCCCAGGGGCACTCGCAGCCAACGCGACCCCCCCGCGGCCCCCCCGTGCTCCAGCCGGCGCCGCAGGAACCCCATGGCTGGGAAGTAAATCCCACAGGAGAATTCCAGCAGCAGGAACACCAGGAAGGCGCCGGGCGGGGGCACGGGGAGGGCAAGGAGGAGGAGAGAGACCCCCAGGAGCGTGACGGACCCCGTCAGGAGGTGCAGGGGCTGCAGCCGGAGCCCCCCCACGACCCCCTGGCGGAACAGGGATGATCCCACAGCACTTGCTGCCATAAATCCTGAGAAGGCGATTCCCAGTGGGATCCCCAGCGGCTCCAGCACGGGCGTCCAGAGGAAGATGAAGATGAGGATGATGCCCTCCACCAGTGCCTGCACCACCCCCAGCAGTGCCCCGGGGGGGTTCCGCAGCCCCCGCAGCCCCTCCCCACACGCCTTGGGGCAGGAGCTGCGTTTTCCATAATTCTCATCCCAGTTTTTCACGGCAAAAATCCCAGAAAAGGCCAGGAAGGGCACAGCTGCCACAAAAGGGGTCACGGGGCCCCCCCCCAGCACCAGCAGCTCAGCCACAGCCCCCGCGGCCACAGCCACGACCCCGTTCCAAAGGGCCACGCGGGAGAAGGTGTCTGGGATCCACTCCCGGGGGAAATCGTGGCGCTCCAGGTGCTCGTGGACGTACCAGGACTCGAAGGAGGTGAAGAGCAGGGAGGTGCCGACGCCCCCCAAAAGCCGCCCCGCTGCCAGTGCTGGGAAATCCCGGGAGAGCTGCAGGAGGCAGGACAGGGAGCAGAGCACCGAGAACAGCACACAGGACCTTCTCCTGCCAAGCCGGTCCACAAAAAAGTGGGAGAAGAGCCCGAACACCAAGTTGGAGGCGAATCCCAGTGAGTAGAGGGCGGCGATCTGCGTCTGCAGGAAGCCCCGGCTGCGGAACACCTGGAACAGGTGAGGCCCCTGCAGCCAATCAGCTGCCAGGGCAGGCAGGAATCCCAGGTGGAAGCGCCGCTGGAATTCCTGGAATGCCGGGTTGGAGCTGGGGGGGCTCCGGGGAGGGAACTCCAGGAGCAGCAGCAGCAGCAGGAGGAGCAGGAGGGCACTGAGGGGCAGCAGGAGCATCGTGGGGAGGGGGGGGATAAAGGGGTAAAAGGGGGGAGAAGGGGCAGCCTGTGGGGGGAAAAGGGGGGTCAGTGATGGAAGAGGTTGGGGGGCACTTAAAAGGACCCCCCAGGTGTTATGTGGGTGTTTAGCGACTCCAACCCCAGGGAAACCCCCCAGACGGGCTATAGACCCCAGACTCACACACACCCCACAGAAGGCTATAGGGACCCCCACCCCAAGGACACCCCATTGGGGGCTATGGGAAGCCCGACCCTCCAAACAGCCCCAAAGACTCCCACATCCTCCAAGAGCCCCCCTCACCTCCCCAGACCCTCCATAGCCCCCTCCCAGCTCCACAGCCCCCCCATAAGATCCCCATATGGCCCCATAGGACCCCCCATTAACCCCTCCCAGAGCCCTCCCGGTCCCATAGACGCCCCATAGGCTCCCCATAGACCCCCACATCCCTCACTGGACCGCCATAGGCCCCCCTCAGCCCCACAGAGGCCCCATAGGACCCTACAGACCCCCACAGGCCCCAACACAACCCTCCCATAGTGCCCACAGGACCATGCCAGACCCTCCCAGAACCCTCCAACCCCACTGGCCTGTCATAGGACCCCCACAGACCCACCACCCCCCAGGATCCCCGGGGCCTCACCGAGGTCGCAGCGGCCGGGCGGCTCCTCCACGGACCCACTTCCGCTTCCGCCTCCCCATGGGCGCCGCCATCTTGGCCCGTGTCACGTGACACAGGAACACTGCCCCCTTAGGGGTCTGTAGGGACCCCCCCCGCCTTCCCTTGGGGGGTTATAGAGACCCTCCAGCCCAAAGGGACTCCTTCAGACACGCCCCAGACACCCCATGGGGAGGTTATGGCGTCTCTTTGAGGTGGGGGTCCCTGTACCTCCCACCGTGGGGTGTCTGGGGGAGTCCCTTCGGGGTGGGGACCCCTATAACCCCCCCCAAGGGAGTCGGTGGCGTGTCACCCCTGTGACGTCACAATGACGTCACACCGAGCCGCCGCGTGGGGGGGATCACTGGGAGGTCCCTGGGGTCACCCTCCCCCCCAGGGTCACACATTCACGGCCCCAAACAAATACCCCCCTGCAACTGCCCCGACCACCCCACAGCTACCCCAACCCCGAGCAACCGCCCCAAACCTTGTGTAATTACCCCCGAGCAACTGCCCCAAATGCCTCAAATCCCCCAGCACAAATCCCTCCTGCAACTGCCCCAGTCCTTATGCAACTGCCCCAAATCCTCAGTGCAAATGCCCAAGTCCTCGTGCAAATACCCCCAAGCAAACGCCCCCCGAGCAAACAACTGCCCCGCCCCTTCAATTGCCCCAGCCCCGTACAGATGCCCCAAACCTCGTGCAAATACCCCCAGTACTTGTGCACCTCCCTGTGCAATTGTCCCCCCCAGTTGCCCCAGCCCCTGTGCAAACCCTCGAAATGCTCCAACCTCCCCCTGTGCAATTTCCCCGCACCCCCCAATTGCCCCAGTCCAATGGAAACCCCCCGCCTGCCCCACCCCATCCCGGGTCACGCCCCCCCCGTTTCCCCAAATTTGGGGGCAGTCCCCCCCTTACTCACCTCGGCCGCCGGGTCCGGGGGTCCCTGGGGGAGTTGGGGGGGGCGGACCCCCTTCACTTGATGCTGAGGTGGGGGCGAGTGTGGGGGCGGCGCGGGGGGGGGCAGCAGCGGGAGGGGGGACGGCACTGGGGGCAGGAGGGGGGGCGACAATTGGGGCAGGAGAGGGGGCGACAATTGGGGCAGCAGGGGGGGTGACACGAGGGGGGACAGGGCGGGGGGTGGCACTGGGGGCAGGCGGGAGCGGGGGGGCAATAGAGGGGGTAACAGGGCGAGGGGTGACACTGGAGGCACCAGGGAGGGGGGTGGCACTGGGGGCCACAGGGAAGGGGGTGGCAGGGCGGAGGGGGGCACTGGGGGCAGCTGGGGGGTTGACATTGGGGGCAACAGGTCAGGGGGTGACATTGAGGACAGGCGGGCGGGGGGGGGCACCAGGGAGGGCACCAGGGGAGGGGACAGGGTGGGGGGCAGCAGGAGGAGGGGGCACAGAAGGAGGGGGGGCAACAAAGAGGACAGAGCGGAGAGGGGCAGAAGGGGGGGGCGCAGCACGGGGGGGGGTGGCAGAGGAGGGGGTGGCAGCCCCCGAGAGTCCCCCCGCGGCGGCGGGAGCGGGGTCGCGGCCAGCCTAGCCCCATGGCACTGCCACCCCCCCGCCTCCCCCCGCCCGGTGGCACTGCCACCACCACCCCCGGCCCCCCCCACGCGGGATTTACCGGGAAAAGCGGCTGAGCCGCAGGGCACGAGGGGGGGGGCACATGGAGGAACCCGTGGGTGTGGGGACACGGAGACACGGGGAACAATGGGGGACACGGGGTCATGGGGACGGGGGGACAAGGGGGACATTGGAGACATGGGGGATATGAGGGGCACGGGGGACATGAGGGACATGGGGGACAGAACTGGGAGAAACACGATGTTATTGAGGGGCACGGGGGACATGAGGGACATGGGGGACACAATTGGGGGACACATGGGATTATGGGGACATGGAGAGACATAGGGATAGGAGGGGACACGGAGTTATGGGGACATAGGGGGACATGGGGGGACACGATGGGGGACACAAAGGGGGGAACATAATGGGGGAGACACGGAGGGGGACGGGGGACAAACGTTGGGGGAACACGAGTGAGGCAGAGGTGGGGGGACACACGGGAGGAGACATGGAGGGGGAGACATGGGGGAACATGGGGGGGTACAGGGACCCCCGGGGGGTCCCGGCGCGGTGGGGGCGGGGCCAGGTCGGCACAAAGGGGCCGTTGAGGCGCGGGTGGGGGGGAGGGGCAGGGGAGGAATTTCCACCCAAAACTTTTTCCATGAGCCCATTCCCGGCCCTCCCCCCATCCCTGCCCCTCCCCCACTCCAACCCCTCCCCAGCCCGGGGGGGCTCCCAGGGAAAACTGAAGCACG